CTGCACCAAATAATAACAAATTAGAAGGAAAAAAAGATTTAAAAAAATACAGATTTCAGTATTCTGAGGCTCTGAGCCCCATTTCTTTTCCTCACGGACGGCAAAAAAACTCAGACATTATACTATTTGAAATAAAAGGGTTAGGGTTAGGCTTAGGGTAAGATATTGAGTAAGAAAATGTTTAACCTGTTAAGCCCGGTAGGTCCCACCGGCGGGGGCTATCACAACAATATTCACAAAATAACATTTAACAACCTATTAATGTGTCATACCGACTTAACGGGAAGAAACTCAGCTAACTGACAATATTAACTATTTTTACCGAAACGAAACACAAGTCTTAACGCCAAGCCTCTGAATTAGCACTAATGCCCCTTTCACACCAACGCGGTTCCCGTTCTAGCTCCGTGCTTGCGCTCTTCTGGTTCGGAACCGGTTTTTCTTTTCAGCCCCCGTTTTGTTCACACCGCCCAGAGCCCGACTGGTGCTGCCGCGGCGGTGACTTTTCATGACGTCACCGTTTACGTCGCTGATTTTCTCTCCAACGGCGCTCACAACAACAGTGAATCGGGTCGATGATCGTGTTGCTTTTAATCATACGAAGCCAGATTACATTAAATAACTACTTCTCAACCCTTATACTTTTCTCCAGAGTGCCGTGGTTCATTGTTTATTAATGTGTTTCAGCGGCATTTACCGACCGCTGCAGTGCTGCCCGCTGTTTGGCATCACAACGCTGTTATGAAAGTTTCTTTGGTATAAAATGGGTGATGTTAGCATAGCAACCGAAACTAAACTGACTATCTTGACTACTTGTTGCTATCCTATTGTGGCATAAGCCGTTTTCTACAGGCACATTTTACCGGCGTATTTTTCATTATGATTCTACTTGTGATAGTCGGACATGACAACCTGTGCAGCCCATGTATTGATTCCATCTGATAGCTGCTATAATACAAAACAAAAGTCTGCCTGCTCTCCACAATGATCAATAACAGCGAACGGATGGTCAAAGTAAGGTACAAATAAACAGAATCACACTAAGCCTGGTTAGTGTTGCCTGACTTTATAAAGCGTGTTTTTTTATAAGTGTGTGGTTGCGTTCTAGTCACTTTGCTCAGCGCTACTGCTTGTTACAACTTTTATTTGCCATACTCGCCATAAACTGTTGCTCAGGTTGATCCCGCCCCTGCCCCCGCCTCCGACATAAGCGTGACGTATGCGGTTCTTGCTTCTAGACCGACAATTTTTTGGAGCTTAGTAATAACCGGTTTTCGGGGAAAAAACGGTGCTTAACAGGCTCTAGCTCCGAACCGGCCCTGGAACCATGTTGGTGTGAAAGGGGCATAAGAGAAAGAATGATAACGCACTTAGCACATAACTCTGAACAAACAATATATCATCTGAAAGCTGAGATTCCACAGATTCCAATGGTATAAGTATCATCACTCAGCGATCAAAATTCGCGGCAGCGAAGGCTGGCAAAGACAACACACAACTTCACTTTAGTGGGCCAAAACGGCAAATATGTCTTACCTTTGCTGTTTTCTGATCAAAAGTTGTGTTCAATGGCATTAAAACGCATATAAACGCTGCTGAAGGTTAATCCAATGTCACTTTGAAATGATTACTGATAATCCATCGTAATATTTATGGCAATAAGCTTAGTTTTCAGTTTTCAGAGTGTAACGTAGCTTTCGGTTTGGGCAAACTGCGTGCGCATCACTCTCACTCCTCAATGGTAACTTGTAGGTGGATTTAGGAACCTCCCCTCGATTCTATTGGCTCTAACGGTTCAAAAGAGGTGTCAATCACCAATATCGACCAATGGGTTCCAGAGATATGGCAAATACACCCAAATGACCCCAGAGGTGGGGTTATTTTTCTAAACCTCTCTAAAAAGGTAAAATTTCACTTGTTTTGCATCAATCTTGATACAGGCTACTTATTATATGTTATAGTTTGGATTCCTAAAGCTTTTAATCTACTATCCCATCACTCAAGGGTGGTTTTCACTATAAGTAATGTTTTTTATTTGGACGGAAACTATAATTTAAATGTCTTTACTATGTTCAATCTGAATTTACTTTAAAATAAAAACATCTATATTGATTCTGACTTTTCTACATCCAACTCACAGATGTATCATTGCTTTGAAAAAAAAGATTATTAATTTAACCCTTTTAGAAGTGAAGATATAGTAATTTGTTCTGGGCATGTCATTTTCGAGCCTGAGACCTGAAAAATAGGCTTGGGGTTTAACAGGTTAATGCTTTTTGTTGTACCTACTATTGCAACTCATTTACTTAGATTGTTTATGTTCACAACACCAGACACCAAAGCAAATTCCTTATATGTGTGAACGTACCTGGCAATTAACTTGATTCTGATTCTGAAGTGAGATGTCAATGTAAAATCAGGAGATTGCCCCTTCAAACATACTTGACAACCAACATCATTGCAACAGCAATTTTAAACAACAACTAACCACCACATTTGGAAAGGAAAGTAAGACAGACATTTGGCATTGACAGGTTATTTATATGCAACACATTCATTGGCCTGTTCTAAAACCACAACAGCAGTATCAGGGAAAAAGTGACTGCTGTTTCAAGGCTGTAGCTTTTTACAGTAAAGGCCAAAGCAATATACCTTGCCTGATTTGAGTGACATCTGAAAACTGCTTTTAAGGGTTCACACCTCATGCACCACGGTGCATCAACTAGAGTTCACTGACCGGAGAATTATAGAGCTACGCTGTTCTCAAAACTGCTTGAATGGAAAATGGTCCTGAATGTAGGGCTGAATGTAGAACAGTTCATTAGGGTCACGTGGAACAATATGTTTTCTTTCTCAAGAAAACATTCCGAAACATGTAGCATGTAGTCACACAAAAAGCATAAATTAAGCAATCATTTCAAGTTTAAATACAAAAATATTAGGTTCAACTTAATATTATTGCTTTCAACTAACCTAATTCAGCTATGTGAAATGTGTTGACATAAGTCAACGTTTCAGTTTTTTCACTTCAGATGAACAAATGCTTTAAATGTCACATCAAAGTATTTTATTATTTCATGTTACTTCGTTTCAACTGCCCTATTCTTCCTGTTGGTTACGTTTCTTGTGTCCAGGGGTCGTCGTGTTGGGGGGGTCTCAGGCAACATCGAGCCTGCAGCCCTGCTCTTAGAGAAAACACTGGGATGTTAAAGGAGAGGTGTCATGCTTTTCCGGTTATTACCCGTCCCCTTGTGTGTTATGAAGGTTTTTATGCATGTAAACGGTCTGCAGAGTCAAAAACCCTCAAAGTACACCCTGTAGCGAGTAAAACTCTAACACAGAAAAGACCTCCCCAAAACGCCTCGTTGGAACTTTCTCATGTTCTTCCTGGCCATTGTGACGTGTGGATACCCAGTAGCCACGCCCAGAGCTATGACGCGATACAGTCATGCGGTACCCGGAACCAAATGGACCAATCCGTGGAGCCGTTACGTTACGTCCGCAGAGCCATTACGTTAAGCCCCCGCTGATTGACGGACTTCCTCACACACACACACAGTGCAGGCAGCTCTGCTGATTTCTCCTCCCTGGCTGCAGGCTGATAACAGACAGTTGGGATCGCGGTGATATTCTCTCTGCAGACCCATTCTCACAGCATTTATCAACCTTTTTCTTACTCAATATCAAGCCACACTTATTGTTTTTACTTCGGCTGTGAGTTTGTGTGTGTTCAGGATGAGTTTGGCTGTGTTTCGCTATGTATCCTAAACAAGGAAACAACACCTCCACGGAGCTCAGCGCGATTCACAACGTCCCGACCAATCAGAGCACATTGTGCTCACAGGGAGGGTGGGGGCTGGAGCTATTGGAGCTACAACGAGCCGTTAAAGGCAGAGAGTGAAATTCAGTGAATACAAGTAGTTTACAGTGATGCTGTATGAGAAACCAATGTGAGTTTGGAAAAATGCACAATATAAATCTATTTTAGTAGACCTCAACAATGGAATTATGATCAGTGGAAATGGCCATGACACCTCTCCTTTAAAGGAGTGATCTGTGGCCTTCTCCCTGAATATCTCTCCATCACAGACTCTGCAAAAAGGAACTCCAAAGAGTCTCTGCTCTAAGGCTTCTGCTCTGTGGACATTTAATGTCAAAGGATGTCCACACACACTTATTTGCTCCCCGGTAGTTTGTCGGAAGGGTTTTAGAGTTTCCTGTCAGCTCAGGAATGTTGTGAATGCACAGTCTGGTCGGGACGCTGAGTTGGAGGTCAGGAGTGCAAAACAAAAAGTACAATTTAGTTTCTGTTTAAGATGTTAGCAAATAGCAGCAGCGGACACATTATGGCTTCATAATAATGACATTTGGAAATTCTCTATTTACTGCTGGGGAAATATTTTCCTAGGCCCATAACTTTGACCCAGTTTTTCAGTTTTTACAATGAGCACCTGCAACCTTGGCTGCTGTGCTCTCAGTGTTTTGTCTCCCTATTCCTGCCTGTTGGCGTCAGCTGATAGAGGTTATAGTGCTTTATCTTGTTATACACAATGTTGATTATTCTCTCAGAACTAGCTAAATACATGGGTCTGGGGTAGAGATCTTCAGAATTGGTTAGGCATCCGCTGTGTCACCTCGTGGCACAGCACATGTTTTGTGAATTCTCCGGCCGAAGCTCCAAATAAACCGTCAGTGTTTGCCATCAAAGTTCCTGCTCTCCCTGTGTCTCTCTGAGTCCTATCTCCATTGTTTCAGAAGTTTCCATTACATTTACCACATGAATGAAAATGTTTTGCTTTTTCAGCAGCTGCTTTGGTTGTGATCTCATGGAGTTTATTCTGTGAGCAATGCCTTGGCACACTGTCAGCTGCTTTCAGAGGACATGAGATAGTTCTGAAATGTCATTTTTCTGTGAAGTATCCTTCCAAAGTCCACTCAGTTTTACATCAAAGCGTGTCCTTCTAGTGATGAGACCCTGCTTCACTTCTTGTCTTCCTCAGGTATATATGGGCCAAATGAAGGATGGTCGTCAGCCTACCCAGAATGCAGAGAGAGAAACCAATCACCTATCAACATCGTCGACCAGGATACCAAAATATCCACAGAGTATCAGGAACTGACACTGGAGGGCTTTGATGCTGAATCCTCCAATAAGACATCCATGAAGAACACCGGAAAAACAGGTACTGAGAAGAAAGCTCGGGCTGCTGGTGAGATTTGGTTCATAGCTTATTGCCTTATATTGGATATGATTTCTTCAAAACTCATACTGACTGAAATGTTTGAAGTATTATATTGAAAGAGTGACTTACTGTAAATGTTAGCGAAAAATATGTGTTGTCGAGATTTGTTAAGCATTTGAAAGACCTTTTAGGTCGTCTTTATTCCCAGTTTTTCACATTTAGTTTGTAACTGGCCCCACTAGTGCCAAGATTGTTTTTTATTTTAACTTTTAGTTTGTTTGTCTTTGGTCCAGAATAAAAATAAATTGACATTTTCTGCTCTAATTGCCTTGAAACTTGGGAGGACCATCAGCTGTTTCTTAATTGTGTACCATTTGTCCAATGTTGGACATGACAAACTACAACCCCTGAATGACCCATCCAGTTATTAAGTTAACATGTCATGTTGCCTGTTCCTGAGCTTCAATTTGAGTACAATTGCATCAGAACTGGTAGGAATTAAATGGAAAACTTGTTAAAAAAAACCTGTATTGTAAAAATAAATATAAGTTACCTTTTCACCATGGCCTTTGACCCCTAACCCATCACAGTCCCCTTGCTTCCACGCCTACTGCTATGTATTTAATTTTCACTTCATTATTTGCCCCTTTTGTTTGTTTGTTTGTTTGTTTGTACACCATGTAAAGCGGCCTTGGGTCCCTTGAAAGGCGCTATACAAATGTAATCTATTAGTATTATTATTATTATAATAATATCTAGTCACAAACCCCACATGAGCAGTTAGTTAAGAGTCATGCCAGATTTAACGACATAATGTTTGTTACCATGCTGTGACAGACCACAGAGAAGAGGGAATGGAAGCTGAAGTATCACACAGATAATAATCCGGCTCGTATTGGCAGGTGTCTGCATGTCAAACATCTGTTGCATCACCTCCGAGCTCATGATTATAAAACAAGACAGGTGCAGTATGCAGCAAGTCATTTATGATGAAGATTACACATCCCATTATCATTCAGACATTCTGCATCCATTTCAGTAGAAGTGCCATGGCAGGTGTCAGTGCCTGTGGGATTCAGCGCTGGGCCCTCTGAGTTGGGCTCTTTGGCATCTCGAGGACCCTCCTCGTCAGACACATGTATTTTTCACAATTCCAGGTTGTCACTAAGATGGATGATCCTTCCCCACAGTAGAGAAATGGAGTTGAAAGGCTTTTGAGAGGCAGAGACCACAGGTGGTTGGCAGAGCTGTTGACAGCACTCTGAGTGCTGCCCAGAGCACAGCTGTGTGTTAAGCACTATAATGTTTTACATCCTATCGTTTGCTCAATTGAGAAGGATTGTGATGACACATCTCAATAATTTGCCAATTGTCTGTCGGTTTACTGTAACTTCACGAGGGTGTTTGTTTTATTAAAGCTTATCCTATTAGCCTTAATTACAAGTAGCAACAAGTAGAATTTGAACATGGACAACACTCTGTGTCTTTGTCCATAGTATTTGGACATGGACAACAGTTTGGTCAAGACAACAGTAAAAAAATAATAAATAAAAAGGTTGGATTATGTGAATCAGATGTAACATTTTGACCAAAATTGTGCGAGTAAAGAGATGCACATTTCTGCTTTGCATCCTTTGTGGAAGCACCATAAGAGTTACTGCATGCAGGAGTGTTTTTCAGATGTTAGCTGAGTGTTATGATTTACAAGAAACAGATCACCCAGACCATCTAACACCTGGAGTGTTCACCTGCGTTACACCTTCCCACTCACAAAGCTGCCTCTGAGATGTCATTTGCTTCCTCACTGGGACTCACACATCAGCCTTAGAAGAGTGTGATGGAACAAATTAAAGAAACACACCTAGCATTTGCTGTTTAACACATATCATTATATTATTTTATTTGTCCTATACAGTGATAGCTACAGAATGTATATAACGTACCACAAACACTGCAGAGCACTGGAAACAGCTTGCCTTGCTCACTCCTTGAGCACAGTTAAAGTAAAATTATGTATTTTATTTTTTAATCCTGACTCACTAGTATCATATTCAGCTTCGACATGTTTAAACATTGTGTAAATTAACCTCACGGCAAGTATAACTGAAACTGGCTATATGGCAGTCTGGTCATTGAAGGACAGAATAGCTAAAGTCTCAGGTATCCTTCCATGCTTGCAAATTCCCTCAGCGGCCTTGTTACCGTAGCCTAACTGTTTTCCTTCCCAATGTTCAGTGACTGATTAAGGTCACAGCCAGTGAGTAAATGTCCTGTCCAGCTCCCAGTCATAGCATCATGGCAATACGTTGTTGAGATGTGAGACATCAGTTTGTCTGAGTGCAGGTAGCTTCATCAGGCGAGGCGGACACAATGTGCCATTCCCTGTGGAAGTGGACCGATGAGCCGACCTTCAGGGAGAGGATCACCAGCGCTGACACCCGCTGGCACAAACAGAGAGATAGGAGTGAGAGACACAGGCAGGGAGAGAGAGACCCCATCAAAGCATGAAAAATACCCTGACACGTCTGATGCAGAGGCTCCTTCAGCAGCTCAGAGCATCCTCCGAAGGCCACCCAGAAAGAGATGATGATGATGATGGCCACCTGCAAAGTACCACATTCAGCAGAGCATCATTCGAATGGATTTTGGGTGCATGTCGAGAGCCATGTAAAAATGCAAACTGAAACAGCTGCATAGCAAACTGGCGTGAAGCTTCAGCTCTCCCCCGTAAATAATGCATCTGAAGAGACAAATGTCCCTGCATTTTCTTCGCAAACTATGAATAGACTGTATCCAAATGCGTTTTATCTGTGGAGGGATCACCGGCTTGATATGCTGTGATGAAGCTGTGAAGGCAGGCTGGGAGGCGGTGGATTACCCCCCCCCCCCCCCCCCAATTCAGAGTCTTCACAGTAGTTTTATTCACGGCTCAACTTCAACTTCTTGAAATTGAACGTGGAGTCATCAACATGTTATCGATGGGATGGAAACAAGTTGTTTCAAACCATTTAATAAAACGGACACTAAATAATATACAGCTGTTTCTTTGTGGGGTAAAATGTGAATGTAAATATACTACATTTAGGAAAATGCATGAAGTTAGAAATGTATGGGTTTTGATAACGCAGGGGAAAAAAATGACCCACTTGGTGGTTCCAGTGTTATTTATTAATTATTTTCGCGCTTTAAGACAAAATGCTATTCAATTTGCTGAACATATTTAACCAGCAGCTTCAATACTCAAAGCATAAGAATAATATCTACAGCTCCATCAAACAGATATAAAATGATTCAGGTTCCAGATACACTGAATTATTTTCAATGCAGAACCCTTAACAACATGCCGACCTGGAAGGCAGACCCCTCCCCCCACCCACACAATGCTGCAGGATCCAACCAGGTGCTTCACTGTGTGCTCAGAGAGGGGCCGACCAGCTGGCTGATGTGCCAACATCTTCCCCATATCTGAGACCACCACCATCATCATCCCAGTGCAGAAGAGTGTGTCCTGCCTCAGTGACAAACTCCCTGTCACATAAATGATCATGAATTGCTTTGAGATCCTGTCACCCCACATCAATTGACCCCATCCAGTTATCATATGGCCCCCAGAGGTCCTCAGGGGGTCCCATTACCTCTGCCCTACAGCTAGCCCTGTCACACCTGGATAACGAGAACACCCTTAGAAAGCTGTTTATTGATTCATGTTAAGGTTTACAATTATTCCCCAAGAGCTGGTATGAAAGGTGGGCCCCTTGGCACCTGAAGGTCTCATCTCGTACTCAGATCCTGGACGCATGGGGGGACATTACAAAACCACATATTTATCTCTTGCAACTCTCCATATATGACAATTATTTAAAAATAATAACAATAAAGCTTTATTTGTATAGCACTTTTCATACACCAAGTGCAGCTGAAAGTGCTTTAACAACATGGCACACTTCACAATGACAACAGAGAAACAAGAAATACACTTCAGGTCAGACGGTGAAACCTTTTTGTACACATAAAGCATAGCAACATAAAATAACAGATTAACAGTGTAAGGGACACAAGGAGGTCAAAGGTACGATAAATAAAGCAAAACAATAATAATGATCCCTCATGGTAAAATGAAGGAAGATATAAGACAAAATGAATAGATATATAAAAATCTATCAAATTAAATTAAAAAAAAAGGAATAATAAAGGTAATAGTAAAGGTTAAAAGACCAACTTAAAAGGGAATGTCGCTAATACAACTGTAAAATACATAATAAGTATACACTGTATATGACTAGAGCACTGTGCCTCTTCAGAGAGACAAGGTGGAGCAGCTGGCACCGGCTGTTCACGAGACAAAAGAGAGAGGTCCCACTCTGCCAGCACAAACTCTGTATCTACAGCTCCTTTGTGAACAAGTCAGATATCATTGCTGTTGACCTCAGCCAGTCAAACAAATGCACATCCCCAACCAAGTGTCACTCTGCCCCAGCTGTCTGTAGAGAGCCGGGCCTCCCAACACCACACCATTATGCCCACCTCCTACTTGGGAACCTTTAAGAGTGTCCTGGCTGCGGCTTTCGTTTTTCCAACCAAGAAGAGATTTAACCACGCCCTCTTCCGCTTGGCTGAAGCATTGACGCAGCATCAGAGCGACACCATTGGAGTTTTCAAATCCTACATGGCAAAATCTTCTGAGTTCAGAGAGAGCCTGTCTTTTGTTTTTTTGAGGCACGATTGTGTTTAAGACCTGTTATATTGTGCATTAAAATCAAACTCATGTGTTGGTTATGAAAGATTAGAGGTAACATAAACATGGAGAACAAAAAAAGGGCCAAGGACTGAGCCCTGAGGCACTTTAGTGGAGAAATGTGAGGCTGCAGATATAAAGTCACCAACGGCAACATATTTCCTATTACAAAGATAGGAATAAAACCAATCTAAGGCTGTACCCTAAAGACCAAGCCAGCACTAACATTCGGTTTGACCTCCAAATGAGTGGTTCTATATATCTGGGTAAACTGTTGTTGTGTTTACATCCTGTCTGATATTCTGACTGCTGTTGTTTCTTATATTACTTTTGCATTTTCATGTTCTACACTAATAACAATCATAAGCGCAGAATATGTAAAGTGCTGTCTCTATAAATGGGATAGAACTGTCTGATGAACTATGGCTGCACTGGTAAAGGAACACAGGAATCCTTTCAGAGAAAAGATACATGGGAAAATATGAGAAAAATACATATCATTTTTTAACATTAAAGCATGGAAAGATGTCACAGTACAGACAATAAATACTGAACATGAGCAGAAGATATCCTCTTAAACAACAATCATCAATTATATGTCTTCTATTTCTTTGAAACGTACTTTTAACTTGTTGAAAATGTAAACTGAAATGAATTATGACTCTTTGTCGCTCTGTCTTTGTCTTTGTCTTTCTTCCAGTGGCCATTATATTAAAGGATGAGTACTTTGTTCGGGGAGCAGGCCTACCAGGGAGGTTTAAGGCAGAAAAAGTGGAGTTTCATTGGGGTCCTAACAATGGATCTGAAGGTTCCGAACACAGCATTAATGGTCATCGTTACCCTGTGGAGGTAAGCATTTTCTAAGTATAAACATTACAATATACATTTTGAGACCTCCTCAATTGATTTCTAAAGGGAGTTTCTCGAGTCTGGAGAATGGATAGCATTTTTTACTGGAGCCAGTCATTTCGACTCCGCACAAAGGGGGATGTGTCTGGTTAGAGCTGCAATAGGATGAGCAATCATGGCTGAGTGTAAAAGACTGAAACACTGTTCTATAAACGCAAACACTGCTAAAAATGTTTTTTTTTTCATTTATTTTGAACAAACAGTAGTGGGAGTGTCAAAAACTAAATCTTTACTCTTGGCAATAGGTCACAATCAGTGATGGGGTCGTTACTCAAAAAAAGTAATGCATTATGCTGCGTTCACACCGGACGCGATGCGATTTTTGGGGGCGGCGCGATTACATGTAAAGTCAATGCAGAGATGCGGACAGACGCGAATTCGCTCCCACGGCGCGCATGAAGCGGTGGACGCGGCGCGAATCACGCGATTGAGGCGATTGAAGGGGGCCGCGTCAAACGCGAGAGTTCAATTTTTTCAACTCGAGCGTCAAATTCACATGACGCGTTCTCGCGAAAGCCAATCAGCATTGGGATTCCCTCTGATGTCCCTCTGACGTGCTGCTGTTGATCAGTTGTAAAGATGGAAGAGATGATCGTTGTGGCTGTGAGTGGGTTCCCGGAGATTTACGACACAATGTCGTATATCTACCGGGACCGCAACAAAAAGGAGCTGGCTTGGAGGAGAATAAGAACCCAGAAACGACGGCGTTTGTTGCTACGTTTGTAGGACTTCCACAGAAGGTACAAAGCAGCAATAGTTGTTATATCCTCCATAGTCAAGGACAGAAATAACCACAACAATCTTGCATGGAAGTGTAAACAACCTCAACTGTCCGTCAACGGCGGGGCATGTCAACGGTATGTCTGTTTTGAATGACGCGATAAAACAAACTGTAAGCCTCATTACTTTAAAAAAAAAAAAAAGTTATATATTACTTTACTTCTTTACTTTCTACATAAAGTAACTCATTACATTACTCTTTACATTACTTTTGCGTTACTCAGCAACAGCCTACTGTATAGACAAAACTTAAAACTTAGGCCAAATGTTCACACTATTGCAATAAAGAAGAAATAACACAAGTTAATAACAGTGAACATTCGACACACACTGAACATCATCACTCTGGGCTCAGGGGTCTTTAGCTACTAGCTTTGTGTTAGCATGTTGCCTTTGCAGGTGCTTGGAGAGGTTTGATGTTGTGTTTACATTCCTGTCCTTTCTTCTGACAAATGTAAAATAATGGGCATACCTCCACCCCTTGAAAGCTATAGCTGTTGATGACTCAGCCATGTCCCTGCACTGCAGCACAACCCCTGTGACAGTTGCATGTGGACAAGTCGCGCAAATGTTACGCAAATATAAACCTGCGGCTGAAATCCCTCTAGTGACTAGAAATATTTAAAATTGTTAAAAGTTAGATCTATCACATTTACCAATCTTATCTACCCCTGGAACTAGCTAAACTAGTTATACATATGTTTATTATTTACTGTCGGGTCACTCATTCACTGGATCAGCGAGCTGCATGAGATACTGACGGGCTGTCAGGAGAGGGAGAGAGGGAGAGAGAGGCTCCGTTTATTAAACCCGCCGTGTTATTATCAAAGTCACTGTAAACTTCTGAATAATGTAGTAACTACTAGAGTCTAGTCTGTCAAACTAATTGTAGTGTGATTACTGACTTTATAACAGTAACGCGTTACATTACTGCGTTACCGAAAAATGTAATGTGATTATGTGGCGAGGTTGGAAAATAACTAAGACTAAAAAGGGGTAGAATTAAAATAGTTGCCGACAACGCCACCTAGGTTAAAAGGAGCCTAGGACTCCTACTTAAAAGGCTACACAGGTTCTTTAAAAATCAGGGGTGAGCAGGGTTAAGAACCACAATCAAAATAAAGTTGACAATAGTTTATTATGTTAAAAGTAGAATTAAAATGCCCCAGCCCAAAGTCTCTCGAGAGGTCTTGCGTCTCGGTCTTGTCCCTCCAGGTAGCCCGAGGACGCGCTCCAAGATCTCCTGAGCGGATAAAAACAATATAGTCAGGCCACTGTGTGAGACACACTCGGTTACAAAGCCACTCCACACAAACACTTCACGCCACTGCACACTTAAAGGTCCCATGTCATGCTTTTCTGTTTATTACCCGTCCCCTTGTGTGTTATGAAGGTTTTTATGCATGTAAACGGTCTGCAGAGTCACAAACCCTCAAAGTACACCATGTAGCGAGTAAAACTCTAAGGGGAAGCTCGGAAGTGTCAGCCAATCAAATCATATGCCAGTACAAGTTCTAGCCAATCAAACCACGTGCTTGTGTGTCCGGGGCGGGAGATTCATGTGATTGGTTGTTGGTCGAGCTTCAGACACGCCCGCTGGCAAGCTTCAACGCACGCCGCCGTGTGGACGCTGCGTAACCCCTAGATTCCACCGGGTACGTCTGCGCCGCGTTACGGTGGCCGTTCACAGCGGTTGTTCACAGCGGCCGTTCACAGCGGCCGTTCACAGCGGCCGTTCACAGCGATCGCGGCCACTCTAGTCAATGGGTGCTATCCCACCAGACGCGCCGCGTTACGGCTAGAAGCGTCCCAGAAGCGTCTCGGCGCTGGGCTCCGCAAAAAAAATAGGCGGCTGGTCTATTTTCGACGCGACGCGAGGCGTTGCATAGCGCCGGGCAGGAAGTGGACCGGTCAGAGCATCCAGTCAATCCCCAAAATAAACTAATTTTGCAGACCCTATCCCTCCGTAGTCTTTCAAGTAGGAGGAGAAATGCCAGCGTTCTCCTCCGGTTTACAGGCACTGTGTAAATTATATATATAGAATAATTATGATGATGAATGCATTTTTTTACCACTAAAATACAGCAACACATCTTTGATTCATGTCGTTTATAACTGGAATATTACAGTTATTATTAACTTTGTCTGTACAACGTAGCCTGTCCAGGAAATATGCCCAAATCAACAAAAACCCTAACCCTACAAGCGCACACAATTAAAACACAGCAATACTCAATATAAAAAACATCAGATCCCATTAAAACTGACCCCTTCACAATTACAGTAACGCGTTACTTTGTAACAAAGCGTTACACCCAACACTGGTCACAATAGCCTATTAAGCTAAAAAAGCTAATCTTATGCCATGAAATTGAAATGCCTTTCCCACATCCCCATTTACAGCAAACAGTTAGAGTCCTTAGTTAGAGTGTTTACAGTAGCAATATCATACCCAAACATAGTCTGGTGGGTGTGGCACCTTACTTAGATCGGGTTAATAGACTGGCTTATTTGCTGCCAAGAGGTCACCTGTGTTGCCATCACTTGGATCTTCTTTAGAGGCAATGAGTGCTTGTGAAGAGGCCAGCTATGCTCAGTACTCTGTAGTAACCTGGACTATTTGAAGGCAATGCTACTCAACTGTGATATATAAACAAGTAGACAGAACATCTATGGACGTCAGGGTGCATGATGGGTTTCACTCCACAAGCTTCCTATCCCAATCTAGTATCAGTGTTGAAATGTTTTCTGTACAAAGTTAAGAGTCTAACTTATATTAAACATATAAGTGTTAATGCTGGCCACATACACATTTGTCTCTGGGTCTGAGTGTGTTTTTATGTGCAGCTGTCAGTCTCTTGAATGCTGAAATGTCAGCCCTCTCAGTTTGGACTCCTCGTAGAGCACTGCCTCTTTGCTGTGGCTGGCCAAACAGATGAATATGTATTATTTGACATTTGGCAGATCAGCACACTGACAGTTGAGATTGATCTTGTAATCTATTCCTTCCCCTTCAAACTCCTTTTCTTCCTTGCAAACCTTTCAACAAAGTTGCACACAAGTGTCTTTGTGTCAGTGGCTGCCTGTGTGGAATTGATGCATTTGTTCTCAATAGTCCATTTGGAAATATTGCTTACCTGTCTGCTGCAGAAGAACTCAGAGATTCTGCTGAAAACACAGAAACTCCTATATCACTGCATGAAGCTTTCTGGGGCTGCTGTTTTTAAACTGCTAGATGTATACTATGCCATCAAAATTCATTTAGCAGTGAGACATCAGCAAGGACAAGTTTCAATATAGCACTTTTATCAAGTTCCAGTGAAAATCAAACTAGGTTTCTCATATTGACTGAGCCTCTCAGTCAACAATACTAGTCACACACACACATACAAACACACACACACACACACACACACACACACAATTTCGGCAGTACGGCTCATACGGCTCCATCCTTTAAGGCAACAACTGATACTGATATTTCAGCAGTAAAAAATAATTTTGTGTTCGTTCAAAATGTGATTATTCATATCCAAAAAACAAACACAATTATGTTATGAAGCCTGTTGTGCGGCAACATAATCATTGTAGACTTTTTCAGAGTTTAATTGTAATACCAGGGAAAACCCTCAGTCTGTTTCAGGAGAAGGGGTTTGAGGGCCTTCTGTATGCTCCTTGAGTTTATCTGTGTGTTTTTGAGAGACACAGCAAAGTGGTTAGGTTTCAGTCAGAATTGACTCAGCCTCCAATAAAAAGTATTATTGCAGATACTTTAGATTTGAAAGAGGGAGCAAACACCTGCTCCACCCATTTCTTCTTTAGTTTTCATTATATTCCAGCTATAACCATTACCCTTGCTTTATAATTCCTTTATATCTTTCTACTCCATTTTGCTAAGTTTTTCTTTCTTTCCTATAGTTGTTTTGTGTTATTTCATTCTTTCTTTCATTTTTGGATTATTAATTTTGTTCTGTTCTTCTCCCCTGTTCCATTCCCTTTCCTTTTTGCTCTCAGCAGCTCACTGTGTTGCAGTGGGAGGGGGAGAGGAGGGCTCCTGTGCTTTCTGAGTGCTCCACATGAATGATGTATGATTTACAAGCCTTGCCATTAGGTAATTGTAGCCTAATAGGGCCCTTGAATGGCATGATGAAGTAGGGACC